TAAAGGTACCAGCAACAACCAATGGGACAGCCTAGTGCTGCCACAAACCACTATCTATTCCATGGCAATTTCTCTCTTGAAACATCATATATGCTTATTTGACTTGGTTTATGCAGAAAAAGAAACAGAAAAGACCATCAAAAAACCATACACGCGCAGAACTACCCACACACAAAAACCAAACCAAAAGAAAAAATAACAACCAAAACCCCCAGACCCCTTCAACGTGTAAAAATAAGAGTGACTAAAATCTATATTCTGCCCTGGAATCAAAGGACAGGGAGCTGTGACTGAAGCACCCTTTTATTTTGTCTTTTCCAATAGACTTTCTCTTAAGCACTTCTGCTTTGCTTCTGTGAAAGCAAAGCAATTACTATTTAAGTGTTAGTTTCACTGTAATTGCAAATGTCAAACAAACCATAACAGCTAAGGTAACCACAGTGATTGCAAGAATGTGGTGCATCTCGCACAGATTTGTCTAATGTCACAGTCTGAGTGTCCTGGGTTCAGCAGTAGCAGTCATTTTTCTCCTTAGCTGGTGCAGTGCTGTGGTTTAGACTTTCACCTGAGAACAATGCTGATAACACACTGATGTTTTAGCTATTGCTAAGTAATGTTTGCTTTGAAAAGAAGTGGAGTAATTCTTTCCCATCCCTCCCACCACCCCTCCTGGGAGCGGCTGCATGATTCTGAGTTGCCAGCTGGGCTTAAACCACGACACTGGGTATAACCACAGCGTAATTAGAGGATCTGACCCATTATCAGAAAGCTGAGACTAAAGGTGTCTTTAAGAAGGTAATTAGGGGATCAAAAATGTCCCATATAGTATGTGACAGACCTAAATAGCATGCCTGGGTGCCATGTTTGCTTTGTGTTCTTTTCAATATTTGTTTGGGTCATCAAGCATTTAGAGAGAATATTGAATCTAACTGGGGTGGCTTTGTGTACTTCAAAATAAAAGCGAGAAATCGTTATGTGTGGAACAAGAATCAGGAGTGCAAGGTTTTGGGGACTGCAAGAGTGTAACTTTTCACTGAGATACTGTTGCCACATAAAATTACTTTCCTGTGTTCCAGATCTCTCATATCTAAGTGTCAAGGGGGACCTTAAAATAGAAAAAAAAGCTTCTCTCACAGATGGTCACAAAATCATATGTGAAACTACCTTGATGTTCTGATTTTTATTTGCTTAGTGGAATCTAATCTTCACAAAGGAAGTGAAAAGGAAATAATACTGAGAGGCCTCTATCCTGCAAGTCATGAATAATATTCAAGTATCTGGTCTTTTATACATTGGCAAATAACTTTTTAGAGGACTAGAGGGTCTCTGAAGCTTAAGCAAATTGTACGTCTTTCTGTGTACATCTGCAGCTGGGGAAGTGACATTTCCTCCAGTTCCTCCTCTTTACGAGCAACTGTTTTCAAGCTGAAAGAAAAAACCCTCACTTGTCATAATTTTCCATACAAGTTGAACAGATATGTCACCATTTGCTGCCTTCTGGACAAGTTCATTGGAATAATGTCTCTTTAAGCCATCCTTTCTCTTCTAAATGTGAAGCAAAAGACTGGAAGAATACAGAACAACAGGCAGAAAAAACTCAGGTACAAAGAGCGTTATAACTGGTATTTGGATCAAAGATAAACAAGGCATACATTGCAGAAAGTCATCCAGATACTTCAGATGAACCAATTCTTCTGACACATAAACCAAATTCTTCTGATACAAGCATCTCTTTCTGATAAGAGAGAATACAGTACATTCAGTTAAACATTCAAATATTTCTCTCAGCTTATCCACTGCAGAAAGATGACAGAATTACTTGTCCTTTGTACCCTGTAACTTAGAAAATTTTACTCTTCTTAATCTTATCGTTTGCTTATAAACCAAGATGTTGATTAAAAAAATGGTTTTTATTATATTCAGATACATACATAATCTGATCATTTTATCCAAGAAAACTGTGAGGGTTCTTTTATGTAAGTTCTTATCTAAATATATAATAAACCCCGGCTTGACTCAGAAATATTTGCCTTATTTCTCCAGCGCTTCTCAGACATTATAAAGGAGATGTGCATGTAAGGCTGAGCTCAGAATTACATGAGCAGGTGAAAGTTACTGTGAGAATGTCTTTCATTTTATACACATTGCATAGATTTGGTTTTGGTTTATTTTTAATAGCTAAGGATGCTATTCTCAACATCCCTCAACTTATCTGGTCAATATCTTTCATTTGTTCACCTCAAAAAGGGATTTGGAAAGGAGGAAATACTGAAGAGCTCTCGAGTCAGCTGGGAGGCAAGGCCACATTATAAGAAGCACAGATAAATGCAGCAAATCTAAAGCCAGGATTGCTGAGAGATGGAGGTCTTCACTACCACCTAAGATACATAAAAAAAGGAAAATCAAATAGCAACAGATAGGTCCAAGAAGGGCTTTGAAGCTGGTGTGTGAGGGCAAGGAGCAGAAAACTGATGAAAGAAGCAGACTAGGTAGAGGAAAGAAATGGAGAAGGAAACAGCAGAGGAGGTCAGGCAGCCTGGGGAGCAGGCTACAGAGCTACTGGTTCCTTTGGCTTCACTCATGTGAATCAGGTGAACTATTGTGGATTCCAATGGAAGGACATATCCATCCTGTACTAACTCAATGTGAAGCAGATCACTGTTTTTCTAAAAGACAGACTCCTTGTGAAGCACAAGCTTAAACCAGCTTCATTGCATATGACTTATAAAATCAGTAGTGTCTCATAAGCGGATATTTTTTACGGAAGGCTTGTTTTGCTTTAGCTTGAGCATATTATTTGCCAGTGCAAGCTAAACTGAAACATGCATTGTTACTAGCATCTTTTTGCTTATTAAAGTGTAACATTAAAAAATCATGTCTGCTAAAAATCACGCTCCAAGTGCACTGGTCTGCTGGGGTGAGACCTATCAGTGCAGTCATAGTCCAAAGCGGGTATTGTACCTTTGATATTTTACAACAAGAAAAAGGTCAGAAAAGAGTAACAAGTTAAAACAGAGGTATAGGCTGGCTCACAGATAAGGGACATTGAATGTGCAGGGAAAAGAGAGAGATTATAAGGAATATGACTGACACCTGTAAAACCTGGCAGTGGAGTATCTGAGTATAGTTTAATTGCTCACTTATTTTTCCAATAACAGAAGCATCACCTGAAGCTGGGAGAAGCCACAGTCAAAACGGAAAAGGTGACTTCTCATGCAACAGCTGATAGACCTGTGCATTTCACTGATAGGTGATGGGTGCAGAGAAAGCATGGACCAGTAATGTGCTAATGTCTTGCTAAACAGGAGGAAACCATGTCATCAGCTGCGTATGGCTGGGGAATGGAAAAGTATTAGGAAGCATTCCCACATATGTCTAGCCTTACATGCTGTTGGCTGCAGGATATTGGGCTTGGGTATTATAAAAGAACAGCCATCTTGTTCTTATACAGAAGTGTTCTCTGCATTTCACTTGAAATGCAGTATTGTTTCCTTAAAAAAAAAAAAAAAGTGTAATAATTCTCAAGATACTTTGCAATTCACAGTTGTTGCTAAAAATTTGTGTTAAAAGATTTTTATTTTACTGCACATTCACTTTTGAAACATGGAAGTGATGTAGCATCCTAATTGCAGTTACACCTGTATGAGTGCTAGAACTGGTGTATTTCTGAAGTATTTAATCACTGAAGAGATAGATATATACAAGCCCTGACATGATGGCATTTATCAGTTTTGGTTATATCAGATGTGAGATGATGCATGACTCAGGGTACGAATACATTTCAGACATATTTTTTTGTAAGTGGTTAGAATTAGTTTTTGGATGATAGTTGTGCTACTGTCACCGCAATGGTCACTCTTTCTGACTCCAAACTCCTCTTTGCATATTTCCTACATGAAACAACTTACAAATCCTGAGGATATCTTGCATCCTCAGGAGGCTGTATGGCCTTGTTACCCCAAAATATACTGATGTAAACAGAACGAGACAGCACAGCAGGCAAACCACACAGCACCTCTTGTGTTGAATGTAGCTAACATAAAGCCCAGTATTCCAGCTCGCCAAAACCAAAAACCTTGCAGAGGGTCTAAAAGCAGGACAGGCATGTATGGTACACTTCTAATGGTCTCCCAGTATCCAGGAGGCAGGAAGATGATGTGGTGAGAAGAAGACATCACAAAGTCCACAATTATTATCTGAAAACTCCCATCCTAGTGATGTCTAGGAAGGCTGACTAACGGTTTTCAGAGACCTGAATTCCGTGCACTTCACACATAAACTCTGTAGAGCAGAATACTGCATTTCTTGGTGTTCTGCTCTACTTAGATATCTTAGATCAATTCGATTAAATGACTTAGATTTCAGTGTTTGAGAAATCTCCCAGACTTTGTGTACCTTAGGTCTCTGCAGCAGAGGCAAGAATACAATCTAATTCTACAGGGCAGCATCCTGTGGTCTGCTCAACATTGCACCTTCCCCTTTGTCTTCACTTCAAATCCCTCTGTCTGCCCTGTCCCCATTCTCTCCTCATTTTAATCTCTCCTGTTACTTCTGCTCCAGTCACTACTCCAACGCACTTTGCTCAGGTTTTCCGGACCTGTCTCCCGCTCCCAGTTCAGCGAGACTTTTTCTATGATATCTTTCGCTGCAGATTTTTGTTGCCATGTCCTTTCGTCCCCTCCTTTCTCCCCAGCCTAAGATGCAAATACTCGTAGGAAGTCACTGGAAGCGCAAGTCCCACCGTTACGGCTGCCCTTACACAGGCATCCAAAACTCGCGCCCTCAGAACCCCAGCTACTCTCCAACACCCACTCGGGTCCAGCCCCTGTCCCGCCAGCCGAGACCCCGGCGAGCGCCCCCTCCAGGCGGCTCGGCTCTGCCCGCCCCGCGCCGTCGGCCGCAGCCGAGCGGGCTCGGGGCGGGCTCTGCGCTCCCGGCAGTTCCGGCGGAAGGCAGCGGCGGGCTGGTTCCGCGGCGTGGTGCTTCCCGAAGGGATGGTGCAGGACCCACGCGGGCGGCTGGTGGCAGAGCTGTTGCTGCGGGCCGGCCCCGCCTGCAGCATCCTCTGCCTGTGCTCCCGCGCCTTCGTCGAGTGAGTAGCAGCACCGGGCGGGCGGTACCGCCGTGTCCGGGGCAGGTTCGCGCTGGGGAGGTGCGGGGAAGGGTCGTGCTGCCGTGGCCATGCGCAAAAACGTCCCTATAGGTTGTGTTTACCTTGGGGGGGGGGAATGTACCCAAACACTGGTTCCCGCGGGGAGCTCTTGTCGGAGCGGACGCGGCCCGGCGCGTAGTAGCGGTCTCCGGTTGAAGCCCGCTTCCTCCCGGGCCGCGCTGTGTCCCTGGCGGGGGCCGCGGCTGTGCGGTGCTCAGCCCGAGCTCTCCCCCTCCCGCCCCCCAGTGCTTCTATCCCCTTATAGCTTCCCCAAAGGGGTGCGGAGGGACCCGGAGCCCACCCGAGCCAGATGGAGGGCCGGGTTTCTCAGCGCGGTGTGGGAAGTGCTGCTCGCGGGCGTCTGTCGTCGGTGCGTGATAGGGGAAAAGAGGCTGAGGCTGTTACCGGGGCTTTTGCTGTAAAACACACTCGGTGCTAGGGCAGCATTTGCGGAGGTGAGGCGCTTTCAGCATTGAGTGATATCTCAAATAGTTGCTGTTTGGGGCTGGAGACATTAAATGCTGCTAACGCAGAAGCTTTTGTGCGCCTGAAATGTAATTCCGTTGTTGCATAGAACAGCATTTTGAGAACATCTGTTGTGTAGGATTTCCCATCGGGCTTTCAAGTTTTGCCTTTTTAACATCTTACTTTGTTCCATGTGTTTGGACTCATTGGGCAGCCCAGGTGGGAAGGGATAGGGAAGGGTCATCTGGTCCAGCCTTTCCTGGGAAAGGGAGCCTAGAGGAAGTTATTTAGCACCCTGTCCAGACACATCTTGAAACCTCCAGCAGTGGGGGCTTTACCACATCCTTGCAGTTTATTTCCACTGAATGATTGTTTTTATTGTAAAAAAATAAAGTTTTAAGGATGACCGTCTGGATCAACATCTGTCTTCATTTTTACAGAGATCGAAAATTGTATAAACTGGGATTAAAAGGATTTTATGTCAAAGATGACAATGACAGTACAGGTAAGGTAATAAAATCTACTGTGTGATACAGTGTGAAGTCACACTTAAAGTGAGTTACCTGTGGCTACTTATATTCTTATTTCTGGCTTATTCTTCAGTACTTTTGTATGTGGGTAGATGTGAATAATATCTTAGTACTTGCATAACTTTCAAAAGACCATAATCTCAATGTGGAAGTTTGTGTCAAACCAGGTGTGATGCTTATTCCTGTCCAAACAGGCTTACTACCTCACATAGCCTCCATCTGCTACATGGAGCAGATTAGTTGACAGGTCCCCACCTGCTCTTAAATCATAACTTCAACTATCTCGAAATTGGTTATATAATGGAGTGTCTGCAGATCCTGGGTGTTTGCTTGGGAGCAGTACTGTCCTGCTGCCTGTACCCCAGTCTAGGACATTAGCTGTTGCAGATTAATCTGATGGGCCAGAAGCAGAGAAGAAGTAGTAGCACTGATGGGAAGCGTTATGATGTATGTTTACATGAGAATCAAGTAAGGAGGACGAGAAGAATAAGTCTCTCCCTTGACATGCTTGTATTTTAGGAATGATCATGATGCATGCTCTGGTAATTTTAACACTATTCCTTTGCTCCATCTTCCAGATAGGCATATGTGGAGAATTTGGAAAACAGTACTTTTGGTATCTGTTTTTGACTTTGCTGTCATGGTAGCTTCAGTATCATATAATATCTTAATTTGAAAGGAAGAAGTCTAAACATTAAGAAATACCCATAGAGGTTGATAATTAATAGCACAGATTAAATGTACGATATGTGGGAGGAGTGAAGGAGAACGTAAACCTTGGTTTTGTGCATATATGAGTGAATTGTGGTGAGAGTAATCATTTAAAACCAAAAGGGTGTTGTGCTGTGTGATAATTCGCCAGTAAATGTATCATGACAAAAAAATTCTGTGATTGTTTCTATTTTATCAACTGTGTCAAGATATTTTGTATTTCATGGTTTCCATCAATATCCAGTTCCTGCTTTCTCAGTGGTATTTGTCATTTTATGTTCATATGATGTTGCTTAAAAATTTGATAGATGTGCAATCAGTGATTCAATAGCTGATCAGTTACTGCTGAGATAATTAAGTTCTGTAGTTCACACATTTTTATAAAATCATGCTATTTTTGTTAGTGTGGCTTTAAAAGTTTTATAACAGACCGGGCAACGTCTTGGGTTTCAGATTTGCTGTGATATGTGTGAGAAGAACTGTAAAGAATTTCTTTTCATAATACCGATTTTTGTGTTGTTTGCCAGGCATCATTTAGTTTGCTCTGCATGTTATTGAGCTGAATGTGGTGGATCGACCCCAAGCACCCAGTTTTTATTACTGCCCATCACATTATATGGTATGGAGTGTCCCTTCAGCTAGTCTGTGCCAGCAGTCCTACCTATATCCCCTCCTGATCTCTTGCCCACCCCAGCATACGCACTGTGGAAAAGAGAAGGTTATAAGGCTGTGCAAGCCTGTGCAATCGCTGCTCAGCAATAGTCAAAACATGGGTGTGCTGCCCACACTGTTTTAGCCACAAATCCCAAACAAAGCACCCATAGAGGCTGCTATGAAGAAAGCTAGCTCCAGACCCGGTGCAATGTTTTGGCTGCCTACTGATATTTAGGCAGAAATGAAGATATTTATGAGGAAAGTTTTAAATGGAAAAGGAAACTTAAGAGGCAGTTCTAATGTTGGGGTGTTTTTAGGCATTAAGGTATCAGAACCAGATTTATATATTATCTTCATATAATTTCTTACTAGGAGATGAACAGCCATCTGAGGAGAACCATTGTCCCAATGCATCCACATTGAAGGTGGATACTAATCATGCTCTAGACCTGGAAGAAGTTGAACTAGACTCAGAGGCTGAGCTTATGAAGAGCATGGGATTGCCTCTTCAGTTTGGTGGGCAGTCAGCCCACAGAGACATTGTGGTAAATCTTTATTTGCTTTATTTGTTCTGTTTACTTTGTGTTTCCAGACATAGGGGCATGTCCACTCTCAGTTATCTGGGGACTGCAGTTCACAGAAGTGATGTGAGCTGCCTTTGAGCTGTCTCCCTCATGCACTTGTACCAACATACAGCACTGTGGTCCGTGGTTTGTAAAATCCACCTGCCAGTTTGACTAAACAGGGTCACGTGTGCCTCGTGCTTCCATTTCTATACTGCTCTTGCTACTAGAGAGAGCTAGTTTAGAGCAGGTGTGGTAACGTTGATGGTCTGCATCAGGACAACTAGTACACTCCAGTCTGTGCATGTTTTCACAGGTTCTGACCTGATCTACACTTTATGTATTAACATGGCATTATGAGAGATGTGGATGAGAGCTTAATGCCAGCTCTATGAACCTAACTTCTTACAGTCCACTTTATGGATTTGTCAATGCAACAAAAGTAGGGGTTGCATCTGATGGGACATTTGGAGTAATAGCTGTACATTTGCAAGCTTTTGCCCATGTAGGTTGTAGACCCTCATCACTACCACCTTTTTACCTGCCAAATTTAATTTGGCAGTTTGTGGAAAAAAAAACAAACCCAAAACAACAGAGTCATCTGATTGAAAAACTTGCCTTTCTTGGATGTTTTTATCTTCTTTATGTAAGTAGAGCTGTTGATGAAACCAATATGTTCTTTTAGCATTTCCTTTCAGTAACAGGTTTCTGTCCACTTGACAACTGTAGGAGCCTGAGTTTTTGTAACAAGTGAAGTGGATATATTGCACAAATGAAGGGGCCACCTGTTTGGAGAGGAGGCTGTTTCTTTGTCTTTCTGTTAGCCAACTTGGAGATCAGTATGGGATGGGAAGAATATTACACCGTCCTTTTGCGTCACTGTCTTCAGACATACAGAGATGCAACTGCAGGATTTACAGAGCTTATGAGTATATAGTGATGCTTTTGTTTTATTTTTTTTTTAAAGCACCCAAATATAGCAATGGTTTAACATTCTATTAAGCCAAGCATTATATGTTCACTACCCTAATAAGACATCTGAACAATGCTCGCTGCCCGGGCAGATACCTGACAACAGTAAGGGTCAGTATCTACGGCCCCCTAAAAAAGCTCTTTGATATTACTGAGACACTGTTTTATTGTTGAGCTCAACCCAGTGACCCTTCAGTTCCTGACCAATCTCCCTTTAGGACTTTATAGTGTTTCATGTTGATGTCTCATCTTCTGAATCCTTGAGCTACTAATGATTTCCCTCTCAGCAGCTCCTTCTGTCTGTGATCCTGCCTTTCTTTTGTGTTATCTTTCTGTACACTTTGTCACAGTTGTTTCTCACAACCTCCACAGAAATGTCAGTCAAGGTCATGCAGCAGGGCCCTGTCAGACCCGTAAACCCCACAACCTTTTGTGGGGAGAAAACTTAACAGGAGGGTTGCAGTAAGAGGGAGGATTACGACAGAAATGTGCTTGGAGAGAGGACAAGAAGAGACTGTATAAACATTGTGGACTTCTAAGCATTTTTTCCATTATATTTTAGGCAACAGAAAGTTATAGAAAGAGAAGTAACATGAAGATTATGAAAAAGAAAAAGAAGAAAAAAGAGTTACAGCAAAAACATGAGCATAAAATGGGACAGGAATGCCAGAATCAAGTTTGTGGTGATCATATCCAGTCCATTTCTCATGATCTGGCCCTAACTACAGAGCAATGTGAGAAAAGCAACAAACCTCACGTTGTAAGTGAAGGGAACTTTGAAAGTTCAGAAAGTCTTGCAAATGAGACTTTACCCAGTGAACTTAAAGAAAAATGGGAGAAGTACTGGAGTGAGTATGGGGAGGGCCTTCTTTGGCAAAGTTGGTTGGAGAAGCATCAAGAGATCTCGTCGTCTGAGACCACCTCTGCCTCTGAGCCTTGGAATAGTCCAGATACAAGGGAAGAATGGGAGCGGCATTATAGCGAACTGTACTGGTATTACTGGGAACAGTTTCAGTACTGGACAAGTCAGGGATGGACTACTGAGAGCTCACATGGAGACAGTGTGAAAGCTGATGGGATTACCCAGGAGACGGTAATGGATTTGATTAGCCCAGGGACTGAACACAGTGAAGTGCTGAGCTTGGAGCTTTCTACCTCTAACACCAGAATTGAGGAAACACTCCCTTCAAGTGCTGATCCCCACAGTGAAATAACCTCTGGGATTTGTAATTTAAACCTGAATTTGGAGGAAGTGGAGCAATGTAGCACAGCTTCCCACCAAGGTCCTCAAGAGCATAATTCACCTGACAGTGAAAGCCAGGAAGAGCCCTGTGATGGAGGAACCAGGAAAAGGAGTGCATCTTGTGAAAATAAAAGTATTAAGCAATCAGGTAATACAGAATCAGCTACAACTGATTTTACCAGAACTTCTGCATGTGGTTATATATAAGAAATAAGGGCCTGTCTGTATTATGCCATTTTTAAAAAGTTAATCAAGTATTTTGCGGAATGACTGCACACTTAATTCCTTTTTCTTTCCTCTGCTTTTCTGGGTGATCCTCTCTAACCTGTATATTGAATGCATTCTTCAGCCAGAAGTCGTTTTAATAGAACACGTACTTCATAAATCTTCAGATGTACTACTTAAAGTGATGAGACAGCACTGCTAGTGCATACTTATTTATCTTAGTGTTAGTATTGTAATTCATTCAGCTGTGTCATTCAGGTGATTTGTCTTTTCTCACTGATAGTCTAACATGAATGAAAACTCAGGTTTTTGTTCTCATGACTCTTGACGAATTTTAAGAACAGCTTTTTCAGAGAAAAAAAAATAGCTCTGCAGTTCTGGGGTTGGAAGGATTTTTGCCTTCTGTCTAAAAAATGCCATATTGGTAAATAAACTCTTGTTTTGGTGTAACATGTATGGATAAAATGTCTTCCAGGGGTCCTTTCCAGCATTAAATCATCAATTAGGCAGTGAGCTTGTACTTGTAGCTAGTATTACGGTGAAAGCCAGTGGCTGTGCCTTACATCAGTGGAAGAGAGTCTGTGAGGGAGGTACAAAGACTGAGCTGGAGGTGTTTTTCGTAGAATCACAGAATTGTTTGGGTTGCAAAAGACGCTAAACATCATTTAGTTCCAACTTCCCTGCCACAGTCAGGGATACCTTTCAGTAGGCCAGGTGGTTGAGAGAAGGGAGAGCCCCATCTCATTTGCCTGCCAGTTCTTCCTGCTAATGTTTGCTGTAAGCAGCAGTGTAACATCTTTCCTGACTTTTGAATGTTTTCTCCTGCTAAGAGGAGGGATGAAGCACATGAGTTAAGTGTCAGCAGCTCAGGAGTTCAGTTTGATGGGAACTATGACTCTGCTTCTAGTGACCTTCTAAGGAAAGAAGAAGTAGGTGTGGTCCCATCTGGATCCTATAGTAGAGTCAGAGAGGTGAAAGGAAAATCTCCTTTCCAACAAGAAATGAGGAGTTCTGGAATCCTCTCATATCTTTGCATAGTTAATAAAATGAAAACGAAATACACATCCAGGAAAGAAACTGTTTTGAATTTGTACCTCGCAGGCATTATTCTTGGAGAGCTTGAGATAATTTGAAGTTGGTCTTACTTATTAACTCTACAGTGTAACTGATGCTGGAAGCTTGTATTGGTATGTTGTCCCTCAAGCAGAGACAGGTAAAGACATATGTGTTTGGCACTTCGCCTCATTGTCAGATTCAGGTATGTACGACAACCTAATTGTAGCTGCAGACATACTTTGGGGACAGGGAGATAAGGAATTAATTTAGGCAAAAGGAAAGTATAATCTTAATCTATTTTTAGGTTTGCAGGGGTCATGTAGTTCAAACTCTAATGACAAAGAACAGTTGCTGCATTGTGACCGAGATGAAGACGAGGATGAAGAGCCTCCTGAATGCAGGCATGTCAAAGTCAAGAGAAGGCAAGTCATGAAATGTAGATGAACTTTTTATTTCAAGAAGCCCAAGTCTATAAGCCTCCTAATTTATAGTAACTATTTGATTGAGACTGTGGGTTAAAACTTCAGTACAGAACGAGTCTCCCATCATTGCTTATCGCTCTACCTGATAACAAGCAGTGGATGTTTCTTCTCTTCTGTTGCTTTATGAAAACAATGTATGGCCTCAGTGACTCTGCAAGGTGGTGGTACTATTCTTGTGTCACTGAAGTATACAAGATTGTTAAATTAGATAGGACAGCATGCTTACCTAGGTCTAATTTGTGTAGACAATACAAGAACAATAGTAAATAATCTGTATTGTTCAACTATATTTTATGCTGCCAGTAAAATGCTCAGTGCTATGGCAATCATAAAATAGCCAATCTCTGCCTTGTTACAGTCTTTTTAATTCTCTAGAAATGTATAGCCTCAAAGATGATGAGATGGCTCTCCCTCTCTAATAAATCTACAAACTCAAAGATGAAGGCATGAATGGAATTATTATCTGCTAATCATGTAGCTTCGGTTTCATCCTAGTATTTGGCTGTTGCCATAGCATTAATAATAGATGCTGAAGGCAATTTGGAAATCGGGTAAATAAACACTGTCTTCACCAGTTCCCTGTAGGCTTGATATTAAATATTTTAAGAAATCATTTGTAATAGCTGGAATGTTATAACCCCAACAGGACATACATGCCTTGAGTTGGGTAAAAAAAAAACCCCAAACAGAAACCCTGGGGGAAGTATGTGCCCATGCAATGAATGGGCTGGTATTACCTGCCTTGCTTGGTTTCAGCAGTGTGTGGAAGAGCATACTGAAGCCCACATTTAAGTGTTTTCAATACATGAGTTTTAGTGGTATATCTGTAAAATTAGAGTGTTTCTTATAGAGACTGACTTTGTCATCTGTGTTTTTTCCTAGCCATGAACTGGATGTGGATGAGAACCCAGTGGAAGATCCTGAGAAAACCTGTTCTGCTTTGGGTTTTAAGTGCGGCACAGGACAAAAGTAATTGCTTGTGAGGAACTCGGGGGTTTCTTCATAGCAAGTCAGCTATCTTGTTATTACTGAAATAGACCATTCATCTTCGTTTCCGTTTTGTAAAACTTTTGAAGATATTCCCAAAGTTAGTCTCTGCTCTTAATAAAACTGTCATTCTTTGGCTAGAGAGAGATGCAAAGGTAGAGACTAATAAAAGAACAAGGAAACTGCTTTGAAACAGAAGTGTAAATCACAAGATACTTGCAGTTGTGTAAATGCTAGATGTCTAGTCAGCTGCTTAAATTAGAGCTTAAAGGCTCTGACAATGAATGGTCCTCTCAGTTTGGAGTCGTGTGAGTTTGGAGTCGTGTGAGTTTAGATCATAATTTATAGCTATTTCATGTTGGAATCGGGTTGCTTTAAACTAGTAAAATGTTTCTATACTACTTTAAGTGTTGCCAGGGTGCTGACCAGTGAAATTTCTTTTCTGGTGGTATGGCCTAAAGATAGGGTGGTCAGTGCTGTAGAAGTAACATCATAGGGCACAGGTAGACTGTAGCTTAGGTCTAGTGCTTTTGTGAGATACAAGTTGGTTAGAGTGTGGGTATATATATATATATATAGTACATATATATATAAAATACATATACGTATATGTTTCAGAGGAGCGTGTTTTATAGCTGACAATCTTTGTTATACTTTATAAAAATTATTCTAATTGAATTGCCCTTTTTATTTAATTACATTTGCCAGGAGACAGAAGTAGCTGTTTTGGACGTTCTTTACAGCCACCAAAGAGTTGTTTTAGTAATCAAAGACATTTTTTCATTTCCTATTCTTTAGGCTGGTCTGGAAAATAATTTATGTCGAAAGTTACATATATATGTGTGTGTGTGTGTATATATACACAAGAATAAAAAAAAAACCCAACCAAAACAACCCAAAATCAAGTTGGATAAACATTTTCAAATAAAAATATGTAAAAGTTTTCATGAAGGTACATTGTTTCGCAGCTGCATTTGGTGACATATTTTATTTTAGGAGCGGAAAAAATATCTCATAAAGAAATAGTTTAAATCATCTTCTGTAGATGTCAACATTTATGTTAAAACTTCCAGGTTGGAAATTAACCAATTAATGAGGTTTGTTTGTGGTTTTCAATTTCAGGTATGGTGGAATTCCCAATTTCACCCACCGAAGCGTGCAGTACTTGGAGAAAAAAGCAAAACTCAAGTCCAAATTCTTGGATATGCGTAAACCAAAGAAGAGCAAAAACACACACATCTTCTTTACAGAGGAATCTGAAATGTCTTGCAAAAAAAATAAAACTTTGAAGAAGGTAGGTTTAATTTTTAGTGTTGCTGTAATTCATAGATTTATCTGCTCCCTTAGTATATTGGTGTATTCTTGGCAATCTGTCAAGGGGATTTTGAGCTTAATGGTGAAGTTATGTGAAAGTCATTCCTCACATCTGGGTGCATCATTTCTTTGGAGATGTGTGTAGGTTTTTATAGTTACTAGCGGTATCTCTGATTTTAAAAGGCATTTGGGGGCATTTGTTAGTACTGGCATTTCAGCAGGGAGAGAAAAATATTTGTATAGGTTTGTGTGATTTATGTATGTGTTCTTAGTAAGTTGTATCAACATCTTTGCTTACACCACTACCGGCATTTATTTTAAACTATAACTTTATGCTTCATTATTTTTATCTCTGAAATTAGTAAGTAGAAAGTAGAAAAAAATTGTTCACTGTAGTTTTTTCTCAGTTGAGCCCCTTTAAAATCTGTTACCTCAGCTCTCCAGTCCCACTGCTATGATTTTTGATCAGAAGAGAAGCTCAGCTGTTGCCATCTTACACCTGAGGCCAGCATAGTTCTAGGGCAACTTTAATTGTGTGAAGGAAAAGAAGTTACACATTTCCTCAGACTTTCTGGTAAGGAACTGCCCCAAGCCTAGGGCAACTCAGAGCAACTGTAATGTAAAAGTGAGCACCCATGAATGCCCTTAAGAGTATAGACTAGCGTCTGCATGTTGGTTAGTATCTGATGTGGGGATATCTGCTGTGCAGCAGAACCCTTCAGCACGTGCATCATTTGGTACATCTTGCAGATGAGGATGAAGGTATATATGAAGGTAATTTTACCCGTTGATGCTAACCTAAAAGTCAGAGTACAGCTTCTATGACTGCAGATTTGAGAAAAGGTAGCAAACTAAAAAGTAGTCTTGGTCACCTCTGCCGTGGCAAGTCTGACTATATTTCAGATATTACTTGAGAATGACCTAAACCCAGACAGGATGGAGAGGACCATTGGAAGAATGTAAACCCCACAGGTTAAGAACAGTTTAATAATTGGAATAATAATAAGATGATAAAAGAAATAATAATAGTTATAATAATAATTAATAACAAAAAAAGGAAGAAATAAAATTTCAGAAGACACAACTGATGCACAGTACAATTGCTCACCAGCCACTGACCAATGCCTAACCCATCCCAGGGCAGTGATTGATCTCTCCCAGCTAATTTTTCCCAACAGTTCATATACTGGGCATGACATGCTGTGCTACAGAATACCCCTTTGACTAGTTTGAGTCAGGTGTCCTGTCTCTGCTCCCTCCTGGCTTCCAGTGCCCCTTCTCACTGGCAGAGCATGAGAGACTGAGAAGTCGTTGATCAGGATAAGTGCTGCTGAGCAACAACTAAAACATCAGTGTGTTATCAGCACTGTTCTCAGACTAAAGCTGAAACACAACACTGCACCAGCTACTAGGAAGAGAATTAACTCTATCCCAGCCGAAACTAGGACATAAGTTTATCAGTCAATTTTATGGAGTTTCCCCAAAGATAACTTGTTTCCAAATGGTGTAAAAAGGGAGGTCAGTTTGTGACTTCCTGAATGTTTTGACTCTGGATATTTTACTTGTTTTGAAAATATATATGGCAGAGAGTTCCTGCATGGCAGGTGCTTTTGAACTAAAACACTTAAGCTGTGCTCTTGATAACTGGTTAACAACAGCATCTAATAATTTGGCAATTGCAGGTGGAAATGTTCCTAAAGCAGGTTAATAAATCCGGAGCGGAAGCCACATCCCAGGCAGCCTCAACTCAGGGCAAAGCGGTGGCAATGTCCATGAGCAGCGACTCGGAGGATCAGGAAGGCACTACTACTGCACAGACTGCAACGCTGAGCACTGAAAACCAAAAGCCACCGTCTTCCACTATGTCCCCCATGGAACCTGAAAGGGGTTGCCTTGAGGAGGAAGCACAGGAGGCGGCAGCAAGCACCTCCAGTGGCCAGGGTGCGGGAAGGCAGGAGAGGCGGCAGCTAGTCTCTCTGGATATTCCTGATTATCTCTGTGAAGAGACAGAGGACGTCAGCCAAGGTACATCAGTTTCCTACAAACTGGAAATGAGTTGGCAGTGGACTTAGTACTGCCTTACTGCACATGTAATTTGGGATTAGTTTGTTCTGCTTATTCAAAGAAACTCATTAAGTGCAAGGGTTAATGAGGTTGATTGAGAGCTGTGCTGGAGGAAGTGTCTTCAGTATTGTCAGGATTTCTTTATAGATGAAGAGTTATGGTTGATCCTAGGAGCAATCTGACAGGTTTCAATTCACACCTTTTTTTCCCTGTAAGGATGAGGGTGATTAACTCTTTGTAGATGCTCAGACCATGAAGTTTGGGGTTCTCAGTGCACATTGTGAGCTTTGAGGAGTATGTGTTATTGAAATTATTTTCAGGGGGGAGGGGGAGGAAACCTGTGCTATCAACTTTTCTATTAAACACTGTAAGCAAAGGAAAACAGCCTTATTCAGGTTTCTGCATATAGTTTAATCCTTTGTACAGTAATTTGATTATGTTAAATTTCTAATTGAAAGCTCTCATCTAGATTGGTTCTTATTCCTTATTTGTACAAGGGTATTAAATTGGTCTCTGATTCACTTGTTTGCTCACTATATAGAATTTATTGCCATCAGTTGAAGATGATGGCTAGCCTGTTAAGGCACTTCACCTGAAATGTTATTTAGGACTGTGGCTGATACCTGTCAGGTAACACCATTCCCTTGAAATAGAGGATGCTTTTTTAAATTTAAACCACTAATCTGCATAATCTGGCAAACAGCAGAGAAGGACATTTAACAGTGTTTTTAAACCTGAGCATCTTGCATCTTAACTCCCACCTACCTACAGATTACATTCCTAGCCTACAAGAACAGTGACTGTTAACTTTTGCATTGTCTTCCAGATGTAGATGAAAAAAATATCACAAAGAAGAAGGAGAAAAAAAGGAGAAGAAGGAACAAAATTGCACTGGGAGCTATGCCTGCCGAGATTGCTGCTGATCCGGAGCTCATGAAGTACTGGGCACAACGCTACCGGCTGTTCTCTCGGTTTGATGAGGGAATTAAGCTGGACAGAGGTGTGCTTAGTACAAAGTGTGTTTAGTGGTATAAGATATATCCAAACCTGTGGCACTTCTCACAGTATTACTGAGTGTGTGGTTGCACATGAACCCCAGCAGGCAGGTGAACAGAAGTCTTGGACTTCAGTAGAGCTTCTAGCTTGGGACACCCCTGTTTGCATTAGTCCTCCTGTTTGCTAGTCATGCTGTACCCAGATTTTGCTTGGTCTTTTTAAAAAACTCGATGACATTTTTCTGTTTCTCTATTTTATAAGATAATTCTGTGAAACTTCCAAATATGCTCATGGACCTAGTTTTGTTCTTTCAGCAGTCGCTTTCAAAGTTACTTTTTTCCATGTTTACGTGGAAACCACTTCCAAATCATAAATTTTTGGGTAAAAAAGGATTAGGATTACTGCTTCTTTGTGTCTGGGGTGCGTTTGTTTTGTAAGCCTTTCACTTCTAATGCTCTGTCACATAAACATGTAGATTATTTGGGTGACCAGGCATTGCTGTAAAGAAAATAACGTTGGATAAGAGAGGATACATATCTGAGTTTATTTGTTACAGAACACAGTCGTGCTGTATGAAGCTTTTTGTAGCTGTCTCAGTGGACTTGTCCTTGATAAACCAGGATCCTCAGCACCACATTCAACAAAGCATTTACTGAGATTTGGGCATATCTGTTTGCTTCAGTGAGACTTTGTTTGCTTAGCAGATTGCTGGACTGCCCTGAGTTTATCATCTTCAAAGCCTGTATTTCCTAGTCGAATGCGCTAAGCCAAAATTGTTGGGATTAACACTAAACCTTCAGTTGTGTGTGTTGTTTGTTTGTTTTTAATTTAGGTGACCTTGAAATAAGAAATGAAAATAAACTTCTTTTTCCTTTGCAGAGGGCTGGTTTTCTGTTACTCCTGAGAAAATAGCTGAGCATATTGCCATCCGGGTTAGTCAGTCATTCAACTGCGATATCATAGTGGATGCATTCTGTGGAGTTGGAGGAAATGCTATTCAGTTTGCATTGACCTCAAAAAGAGGTAAGCAGATGTTCTATGTAGCACTTTGTTTCTTCACTCTTTTTCCCTAAAAATTTGGGTATGCACTTTGTTCACTGCTTTTTAATCCTTTTTTCCAGTGCTTCTGAAGGAACAGAAGCTTTTTTGTTTCATGAGATTTACAATATGAGCTTCCTGTTTTTAAAAAGGACCTATAAAACTGCTTTTCTGTTTTAAGTCAGAGTTGGATTTGTGTGGTACTAGTCGAAGTTATTTTTACATGTCATAATAACTAGTCTGTCAGATGCTCTGAAGATTAGTGGTAAAGGTTGAGTTCTGTTTGCAGTGCTGACTGCAGAGATGCCACAAAGCTCCCGCTTTTCCCAATTGTTAAACCAAGTCTGTGTACTCAAAAACAGGTTACGTGAGAGCAGTGCTTAAAACACTTGAATGGGATCATGTGCAGCTGCAGCAGAAGCAATACAGAAAAGTGATAATAACAGCTTAGTATTAGTGTAAGTTCCTGTTGCCAGCTAATGAAATTGCTGTGAAAGATTGAGAGTGCTTCTGTAAAAACACTGACTACTTGATATTCATCAAACACTCTGGGGAAAACATCAGCTCATTTAATGCTTCTGAGTAATTTCTGAGCAAGACAAATCACAGTTTCTACTGCATTCAATTTGGTAGGCTATGATCCATTCTATAAATGTTTTCCAAATTTCACTTTTCATATTTCCTGGCCAAATTTTAATTTCTGTGATTATGCACTGCCCTTGTATCACCTCTCTTGTGCTGTGTTGTTTGGGGTTTTTTAACTCAATTTTCCGTACAATGTTACCTGCCACAGATAAATGTTCAACAAAGGGGAAGAGTAAGTTTCTAACTGACACCATTGTCAGGCTCCTGCAAAGACTGAAGCAAGGAGGACTTCCTCTCTTAGGCAGACAGCCTAAGACAAAGTGGAGAATTTGTCTACTACTTGAGCTGAGATGGAGGATTGTCATGTTAGTAGATATATGACAGCCAGAAGCTAAAGCTTCTCAGATTTGTAACAGCAGCTGAGACTTCCCAGTCTTTGCTGTGTGACTTCCCTTGTCGTTTTATAAATGCAGCAGTTCTGCTCTTGGTGGAACATCTGCTGCTGCCTTGCAAGGGGTTGTCCTTCCCTTCTACAGAGCTATTGCTTCGTGTTTACTATGACCGACAAAACTGAAGTAGTCACTCACTGCACAATAGTAGGTTATAGACATGACTTGCATCTGGTGGCTGCAGAGGAACACCTTTCTTGTGAAAACATCCTTTTGGTGGTCACTTGGGATTAGCAGTTCAAGTTAACCTCTGTGTTTGCTCTCTTTGGTTTGCAGTGATTGCAATTGATATTGATCCTGAGAAGCTCAATCTTGCACGCAACAATGCCGAGGTATATGGCGTGGCGGATCAGATAGAATTTGTGTGTGGAGACTTCATGATGCTGGCTGCTGACCTGAAAGCAGATGTTGTGTTCCTCAGCCCACCCTGGGGGGGACCGGACTACGCCACGGCTGAAATCTTCAATATCAAGACCATGATTTGCCCAGATGGATATCCTTCCAGAGTTACATGCTGGGGTGATTGTCAGTTGTTTACAAAAGGTTTTCTCTTTCTTCTGCTCCCTCTCTTGACATGGGCTTTGCACATCTGGTTGACTGACTGGGAATGATTTGACCAGCAGCTGAAGTCTCTGATGTGGTGCATTTGTTTAGTCCTCCCCTAACCTGAGCTATATGACTGTGGGTTGGAATAGATGACCTTTGAAGGTCCCCTCCAACCCAAGCTATTCTATTTTTCTGTGACTGACCACCTAAAATCAGTATTTTTATTATGAGTTTTTATTTGAAAAAAGTAATGAAGAGTTCTTAAAAGTAAAAAATAGCTTAAAGAATTGTAGTAGTTTCTTAACTTAAAGCACTAATTCAGCAGTTTTAACTCTTTTATGTTATTTTATTAAAATGCCCTAAATGAATCAAATAGCCATGCAGTATGTATATATAGGTAATAATTAGTCACATGATCGATGACTTTGTCATCAATACCACTTTTTAATTGATTTCTGAAAAGTGTATCTTATTTTACATGTCTTACTCACACTTCTCAGTCATAGTGCCTGACTTGGGAAATCACAGAAAATTACAAGAAAATATTAACCCTTTCAATTAATGTATAAAAGTCCAGACTTATTAACAGTGGTATTGAGTATTCATTCATCTGGGAAGGCGTTAGCATAATAGTGTCATCAAATATGAAGTGTGGTGCGTTTTTCCCCCAAGAAAAACCTTAGCTGTTCCCTTTTTGTCTAAAATGTAGCCATGTTTGTGAGAGTAAGAAAGTCTTTGCATGTATGTGTGACACATATTCCATGAAATGGATTAGAAAAAATATCAAACCAATGTACTAGCTATAAACTACATTCATATTTCTCAAATACATCTATAGCTCAGTTAACTGTAAAAGTGAGGTTGGCTTTTCTTCTGTTTTCTAGGGCAATAATGATGAAACAGGTTTTCTGCATTTAGACAATACGGGTTTCTGGATTTCAGAAGAGTAACTAAGACATACCCAGAAGACTAGCTATAACTTAGTCGCATAATAACTGTGTTTAGAACATACTTTTAATATGAATGAATATAAAACAACTTCTCCTTCCCTGTTCTTGGTTTTTCCTTTACTGGCTTCTACATTTGAAATTTTCAGGCTCTCCAAGAAGATCACCAACAATATTGTGTACTTTCTACCTCGGAATGCTGATATCGACCAGGTGTGTTACTGGATGAGGGCTTGGTAATTAAAAAAAACTCAGCTGGCTTAATAGGTATTACAAGCACAAACTTACTTAAGACTTTAAAGTCTGTTTAGCTGCATGTGTTGGGGTTTTGTCTTTGTTTTAAGTTCAAACCTTGAGTTATTTCTGTGTTTGCAGGACTTTTGATATATTTAGAAATTGGAGTAATAAATTATTTCCGTGGTTTTGATACTGTTCCTTCATGGAGCAACAGATTAGAGGTTCTTATAGAAGACCCTGAGTGAGTAGAGTTCTTGAATGTCAGACAGATACATCATTATAAAAAAAACAAATAAAAAAAATGTAAAAGGATATTTTAACCTTTTAACCAGCTCTTCTGATAAGCTCCTGAGTCCTAAATTTTCATGGTTTTCAGTTTCTGAAGGAGTTGCAGGAAATCACTGCTCAGCCTGTAATCACTACTATCGCTGATCAGTAGATCGAAGACAACTGTCATGCCACCAGAGGTGATACTGATGCTGTCCAGACAAGCGTGTAGTTCCATATAGGCTGTTTGCATTGCAGTGATGAGATAGATGCCTCACGGACCTGATAAACACACAATTTGTTTCACTGGTGTGGGGTTTGGTTTTGCTTGCTTGCTTTTTTTTTTTTTGTATTAGGCATTTTTGGTTTAGACTTTTAAGAAAGTAATTAGATAACTGTTACAGTGCCTCTGAGTGTCTGGTTTAGTTCCATCTGTGTACTTTCTGTTAATTACGTCTTGTAGCTGTTTCCAAGGACGGGAACAGAGATGTTCTCCTCACGTGCAACATGGCACAGAACTTTGCAGGCTTTTTTCCTGCCTTCCCAACAGCTGTGTCTGACTTCAAGCAGGCAGCGTCTCCAGCCCCTTGGTGGCTTGCAAATCATTGGTGGCAAGCAGCTGGATTGAGAAACAGGCTGAATTTCACATGGCCTGAATGTTAGTACACCATAAGCCCATGCTATGCACAGCACCATTTGAATGGCAGGTGATAATTCAGTTGTGTTTTGGTTTCAAGCTGGTGAAAAGCCAAAGTAGCTTATGAACCTTTGAATAGGGACCTTAATTCTAGGCAAGGTTTCACCAGTTTCGACTTCTAACCACTGCATTTTATCAAATGTTCCATTCCCACAATGAAGAATGACTTTACAGGTTTCTGCTGTGCTCATGAGCATTTTTTTACTGGATTTATAAATGGGCAACTTTACACTTACGTTCTCACATGCACATCCAAGAGTATTACCCACAGGCCTGCGCCTATTCCTATAGGAGAGCTTCGCATCTCTGTGTGTTTGGGTTAGGTGTCTTGCCACCTCTGCATCTTGGTCTGACTGGCTCTGAATGCTTTTGTTGTGTTCTTAAGTGTTCCTTAATGCACGTCCACAGGTTTGCCTTTATACAAATGTCTGAAGAATAATTGCTGTTGCACGAAACCAGCTTTGAAGTTATGGCTTAGTTGTTAAAAGCACATGGTTGGAGGCCTGCGTTCAGTTCAGTCGTCCATACTATGGGCTACTCTCAGGAAGAGAAATCATCTATTATCTCTAGAGATTATGCCAGCATAAGGACAAAAACTTACAGGTTGATGATCTGAGTGGGGAAAGAGAATGTGAATCTAGCCCGCTGTTCAGGGAAATGTGGTCTTGATCCTGTGTGGACAGAGGTGTGTCAAACATGACCATCCCAACCAAACATGACTTTAGTGGATAGTCTGTTCAGTAGTTGTGGGTTTGGCTGCCTTCATCTCTGACTATAAGTTTCTGAAGTTACTGCCACTACGCTTCCAGGGCTGTGAATCTCCAGAAAACAAGATTTATCATCAGAGTTCCTTAATGGTTAGTGTAGACAGTTGTCTTCTCAGTCTGATGATGCTTTCTCCCACAGTTCTCATCCATTGTACTTTTCTCATGGACTGTACAGGGTACTTCTGCGGCAACAGTTGACTTTGGAAAAGGCCTGTGGACACAACTGCTCGGGTGTAGTGTTGTCACTTGGTTTATGAATGTAGTCCATAAACTTGAGTGGCCTCAAAAAGCTTAATGAAGTAAATCTTAAAATTATTTTGCAGGAGGTTAATACCTGGAAAGTGAATAACTTGGATAAAGCAGTATTTGTTGAACAAATTATCTGATGCCTCAGATTTAAATGGAAGGTTAAAAGCCTAAATTTGATTTGTGGTAATGTAGCTGAGGAATGTAAGATTTGTCTCTTCTGTGTCGTCAGAAATTAACTCCGTGCTTGTACACGTATGTAAGGCTTTCAGAGGTTACTTAGCCCCTAGAATAGCTGGTGTGACATACTTAATTTGTAAGGAGGTAGTTGTTAAAACTTAAGTGCTCTGCCTCTAGTCTTTCATTGATTGGCTTGAACCTAAAACCAAGCTATGGTCATGTGCTTTGTCAATTAAAACTGATTTAGAATCTGACTTAATTGCCATTGAAAACCTCTGTGAAGATGTTTATACTGACTGTAAGCCAGTGCTTCGGTGCAAATTCGCTTGTCTGACAGAGGATCTTGGGCAAAAATGGAAATAAATGCCTAGCCAGTTAGAAGCAACCTTACAATAAAAATACTGTTTAACCTTTAGTTAAAGTGGTACAAATTTAGTGGAAAATACGTTCTTCTTTTTACAGTTAGATAACTCACAGAATAGGGATTCTGCTGCTGGTGTGAAAGCTGGTGGTAGCTGACCTTGTCCTAGTTGTGTCAGAGGACTTGCAGTCCATTGCCTCGTTGGTAGACAAGACATCCAACCTTGTCCTGCATGTTTTTATTCTGAAAACAGTGCTTATTATGTCTGCAGGCTTGGCCTTTTCTGTGTAAGGTTAGTCTTGTAGAGAGAGATGGGGTTCTTTGAACTCCGTACAAAATTCTCCTTTAAGGTGGAAAAGAAGTGAACTTCTCTACTTCTGCCTCGAGAGGGAGCAGCGAACCAGCCGTGAGGAGTCTGGCGTTTCTTACTTACCCTAACGGTGGACGGTTAACTGCTCATGTACCTTATTGTGCCTTAGTGATTATCCTGAAGTGTTTTACCGTTCTTTGCAGACAGTCACATTGTACAAATTTACAGAGGGTGGCTTAATTCAGAAACACATTTTTCTTTTTGCTAGAAGGCAATCTTTTACGTGTATCTACTTAGCATGGGATTAAGTCTTTCTGATTTTAAGCTGCTGGAAATGTTGCATATTTAATATCTTGAACATATGGCATTGATTTTGGATTGCATATTAGTCTGTCAAAACAGCAGAATAATTTTCAGCTAACATTTCAATCTTTATGACCTCTATAGCACAGTAAGCAAATCCATTAGAAGAATATTGGTCTACTCTTAAGACAGGATACAAATGACTTCGCTAATTAAAGGTGATTCTGAGAGTAAAATGGCTGATTATTATTCAGTTTGAGAGAAACCTTTTTTGAGTTAGAAAAGCCATTCTGTTCTGTATTGAAAACTTTGTGTGCATCTTTACTACTTGGAAATTTGATGACTGGTGCAAAACTTTATAAATTGGGTAAATTCCTGGGGGTTTTGGAGATTCGGAGGTAGGGGGTTTTTTTTGTTGTTTGCGACAGCTATGCCTAATTTACTGAAATTTCACTGTTGTTGGAACTTCTGGTGTCCTGAATATTGGTGTATCAGACCTCGTTTATATTCCAAATACTGCCAGAAGATACTAGTTACCTTTTGTTCCTTGTCAGGTGTATAGAGTGACTCCCTGAGCCCAGAATTAAGCAACGTGCTCTTGACCTTGGATAGTCATACAAAGAATACACATCATGCAGACAGGCACTTTTCTTAGTTTCTTGTCTTTGTTCCCACCTCGTATTTGTCATCCGTTTGGAGAAAATCTAGAGTTAGACACTGAAGACTTACTCTGTGTTTAAGTCTGGTGCCTATATGGGAAGATGTTAGCTGTGTTTCTGGTTTTGAAAGTCCAGTTGTTACAAATGACTGGTCAGTTAAGGGGGTGTGAAGGTGGGTAAAACTCATTTATTTTAATTCTGCCTGGTGTCATTCAGAGAACAGAAAATCATACCAGAGAGGTCAGTTTAATAAATGAGTATATGATAACTTGTCTGAATTAAGACATTTAATGGCAGGCTAACTAGTAGAACTGCCACTGGGCCCATTCATTTAGCTATGATTTTAGACTGGAGACCTAGCCAAATGGGACCTGCCAGGCAATGTCGTATCTGGTTTAGGAGTAAATATAACAATGAGCAAAGCAGGGAGTGAGTGGCCAGGAGATGAACTCAGATTAAGTTTATTGTATTTTTAAGATGCATGGGTATTAGGAGAGTTGGCAGGTCTGCTCTGGGTTCATGTGTTTTGCAGGCTGATCATTTCTAAGTGAACATAATGGTGTACACTTCAGCTGTGATTATCATGTTCATAATGGCAGCTGTTAAGCTGCCTGATTTAAACTCATATCTGTTCCCTGTCCTTGATAAAAGACAAACCCAGAAGACCTTCCAGCTTACACCGAGGCCAAGTAGCACTTCTGGACTTCAATTTTCCTAAATCTCATAGCACTTGAATACTGAATTGTAATTTGTCTACTTCAAGTTTAATAAATAAATAAATATTTTCTGGTCTGTCAGAGGGTGGCAGCACCACCATGGCAGTGGCAGAATTCACCTGCAGACCTGTACGTTTTGGCAAATGCTACCTGAGAGCATTTTGATTTATTGTTTTTCATAACACACACACACAAAAAAAAAGCAGCTTGTTTTTCTCATACCCAGAAAAGTAAATAATGATAAACTTTGTAGCCACAGTTATCTTAGTTGGTGTCTGGAACAGCTAGTAAGTTACTTTACTGAAGGAAATTCAGTATGATAGAAAAGAGCCTGTGAGACCAGCAGGAAAACTTTTCAGATCAAAAATACACCTGAACAATATAAGCAAGTTTACACCTCAAGCAGCTTGTCCTCCTGAAGTAATCTTCTGTGGTCATCTCTGTTTTCATATTTCTTTTCTGATATCTCCTGTTTTAAACATGAGACCAAATTTGCTGGCTACATTCTTAATGCTCTGTGGCTGTGTCTGTAGCTGTGTGTGTAGCTGTGGACTATTTCCGTCAGCAGTTTCTGAACTGAAGGATGAAGCATCAAGGTGAGACGGATGCAAGGAGGCCTTAACTGAAGCTGCATTCTTTGCATTTGCCTGTGGAGAAGCGTGGCACATATTGAAACAACCCCGCACAGCAAAGGAGGCAATATCTGCCTGCTTGAGTACATGAGTTTGGGCTAACGATCAAACCAGGATGCGCGAGTTGCCATCAGGGAATTGTTGTATTTGTACAGGAAAATGCAAAATAACCACATTTTGGACTAGTCTGTTTTTTAGAAGAAATTAAGAAGCCTCTCTCTATTCACCACTGTAGTTCGCTGCAAAACCAAGAGATGTGTGTTGGTATTTCCAAAAATAGGTGAGCACCTTTGCTTTTCTCAAGGGATCGTTCCTCAACCTGCTGTTATTTTTAGAGGGCATCCCTCTGCCAAGCTGGCACCTTTCTGAAGCTCAGTGTGTGCCAGTTTTCACTCATTACACCATCAGCATTGACTGCACCCTTCCAAGGAAAGCTTGACAACTGCTACGTAATTAAATTTGCAGCCTCCAGCAATTTACAAATAAGCATCATCACAGAGGATTTGCCTTTCTTTCCCCTGAATTATGGGGGTGTTGAGGAGTGTGCAGAGCTGGATCCACCCCTGCAGGGCTTATGCCCATGTGTTTGTTAAGATTTTTGTCACCTTTGGGTTTATCAAATACTTTTAGTAGTTGTTTGAAATTAGTCTTAGTTATGCTGGATTTAACACCTAGGGACAGTGTATGTACTTCTCAGGTGTCCTGAGTGGATGCTGCCACTCCACAGAGGAGCAGTTTACTGCTGTGTTAGTTGCCTGTGTTACTGATGGATTTTGCTTTACGTGGTCTTCTGAGGGAAATGTTTAGTAAATGCTTGTGTCTATCGAGATTTCAATGCATTAGTCAGATGTGCTAGTGATACAAGTTGTGATCTGAAAGCAGGAGTACCTAACTTCAGAACCGTAATCTCAATGTTCTTATATTAAATGGACTAATCCAGTTAATATCTTAGAATACTTACACAACTTCAGCTATAAAATGCAAAGCCTTTAATGCTTTCTAGAAGGGACATTCACAATAAATTAAAAGTACAAACTTAATGTCTTCTAGAAAAAAAATGTGTTGCCCCACAGCGTTAACTGCTTTTCGGATTTCAAGTAAGAAAGATAAGTTGTAAAATTAACATTCCTGATCACTTGCCAATTTCGGATTTTTGTGCTATTTATAAGTCAGTCTGCCTCTGCTTTTTTACTTAGTTGGCAGGTTTCTCTTTAACAAGAACATGGATATTTTTTTCCTATTAGCATTGAATTGAAGGATGAAAAAAAACACGCTTTCATTTTCGTCTGCAGTAACAAAATAATGAAAAGGGAGGAAAAAAAAACCCCAAACAAAACAGAAAAGTAAATGCTTGATTTAGATGAGTGGTAATTTTTTGGGCAAGTCAATAAAGGCTTGAAGTATATTTTAGATAAATCTGTTATTTCTTCATGATGGTAGGCTGTTTTTTTACTTACACTAAAATAGCGGAAGTTCAGCATGTTTATATTTAAACCTGCACTACAGAGTCAAATCTCAAAGGAGTTTAGACTTGTTAATAATGCAGCCTGAACTTTTAAGTTCCAGCTGCTACCATCACAGACTTCTTGGTTTAAAGATCAGTTACAATCTACTGCAGCCTTTTAGACCTTGATTGCTTTGTCTGCCCAGGACGTTTCCCTGCATGGGGAGTATAGAAATAGTTTTTCTACAGCAAGCAGGGAAAACAGCAGCACAGAGCAGAACTGGCTGGGGAGCAGGGACCCCACTACAGCACAGGTCCTTGTGGTCCATGATGGTGTGATGATAAAGCAGTCAGTGCTCAGTTTTAGTAGGGTTCTCTTCCTTCTGTCTGTGCAGTCTGTTCTGGTAACAAATTGGCAGCCTTTATGGCTGTCGTGCCTCAAAGGGTTTGTACTGAGGCATCACGAGTAGGAACGGGATTGGAGAGAGTATTGCATGCTCTGGTCCAAAATGCAAAGTTCACTGCAGAGCACTGTCTGTCTGTAATCATGAAGCATTAAAGGTGTGCACCAGCCTCGGTTAGCAGAGCATGAACAGTGAAATTCTCGCTCCAGTGATCGTAAACATGAGAGTTGGGACCATCACTGCCTGATGAGCTCTCCCTGCTGGCAGTTACTCAGCTGCCTGCAGCCTTGCCCTCAACACTGTGTAAGACTCCAGTGCACACAACAGCTTTGCAATAGCAACAGCAAAATAACTGCAGCTGTGGTTCATGAGCTTCCCTGCTGGTTTGGGGGTTGGTTGTGTTTGGGTTGTTCCACACACACACACACACACAGAGTCTTCAGTGCAACCTTCGTGCTTCCTCCTAATTCCAGGATTTGGTTTTACTCTTCCCCCCGAACTTGTGATTTTGACACTTGCAAAGCACAGGTTTCCAAAAAGCTTGATTTTCTGCTGCAATTGTGTGTCAACAGCAAGTACCCTGCATCTCTCCCCTCAGCACAGCATGAGAAGCGGTAGGTATTTATCTTTAGTTCTGTAGTCCTCTTATTTTCATGGCTTGGGGCGAGGGGGATTTTTTAGCCACAAACCACTTCGGTAAGTAAAACGAGACATGGAAAGAGGACTAAAGGCATTAGGTGCCAAGGAACACTGTCACTAATATTAACACAGCAAAGATGTGTTTTATATGGTATTTCATGTGAATAGAAGGTTTGGGGGTTTGGCTCTTCTCCTGTGCATTGATTGATTTGCTTCTTGTTCTTTGTTTTTCAGGTGGCTTCCTTAGCAGGACCAGGAGGCAAAGTTGAAATAGAGCAAAATTTTCTCAATAACAAACTGAAGACAATAACAGCTTATTTTGGTGATCTAATAAGGCATGACACCTTGTGAACCCAGCGTGGATTCTTCCAAACCCAACCTTCCTGACTGCTGCTTTGCTTAAGCTTTTTGTACAGCTGGGTGGTCAAAAATGACTTGGAGCTATTTTCCACTTTAATTTCTGTTTACAGAAAGTGTTCTGTTTATTGCTACTGTCAATAAATGTTTTATAATAATTTTGACAGAACTGAAAATGTAAAGGAGCTGTGAATATGGGGGAGGGAGGCGGAGAAGATCTCTGTTAAGGTGCAGTCTTGCGAGGTTCAGGTCCAGCCAGTTGAAGGGGAGTTCAGGATTTCTTTGCAGCTCTCACATGTGCTACTTCTGTACTTGCTCTGGTTTTGAGTGTTCAGAGGGCCAAAAGGAGTATCCTGAAAGCTGTTGTGCATCAAGAACTGCTGTCTGTGCTTGAGAAACAGAAGTATCTGAACATCAGGTGCAACTAGGTGGTCAAATACACTGCCAGAGTTTAGCCCGTTCAGCTCTCTGGCTGCATGCTCACTGGGAAACCTTTTCAGGTTTTTTTGTAGGATGAAGGTCAACGTGTTTCTTACAGTGAGTACTCCAGGTTGTTGCAGCACAGGGGGAGAGCAGGGCAAGTTTGTGCATAGTTCTACCTTCTGGTGTTCGTTATTTGTTTTCCTCCTTCCCCAACCTTTTCATTACGAAGATGCTTTGAAGAAACCTAACTGGGGGTTTGTCTCAATATGCAGAGGGGTATGCGTCCCTTCTCTTTTTGGGAACTTTTGTATCCTTGCACAGGTTTCAGGTAGGGCAGGGGGAACCCGGCTCTCCCTGGTGAGGGCTTTCTGTTCCCACTTGGGGTTTTGCAAGGGGAAGAGTGGCTTTCGGGCCCTTCACCAAGTATAAAATAAGGCAAGTAAGAAGTGTCTAGGGCACCGATATGGTGCTCTCACTGAAATGTGCTTTTGGAAATACCGAGGATCAATTTTGAGCCTGGTTTTGAGGTAATAGGGTAGGAATACAGTTTCTAAGATGCTAAATTAACTGAATGCTGCTCCTCTTCTGTTTGGAGCACAGCAGGACACTGAAAGCAGCAGAGCTAAGAAGTAAACCACTAACAGTGGTAGTGCCAGTCTCTGGACAATATTGGAAAGGAATTGTAAAGGAAAGACATTATCAACTCTTCAGTATTCCTTAGAAGTTTGCTGTTAGGAGGCAGGAGAAGGTGGTAGGAGTGCTAGTATTACAGGAGGTCCAAGCCAACTGTAGCAGTGGCACGTGAATATAATGATGATGTTCAATTTTCACTACAAGCTACAAAAGCAATCCCAAGGAAAAGTCATTAGGACCGATGAAGAATAAATTAATCTATACTGTGTATGTCACAGTACTCCCTATGCTAAAATTTGAGTGTGTTTGGCTTATTGCTGCTTACAGAAATACTGTTGTCTTATTCTTTGGTCTTATTTTCCTCCCTAAAGTTAGGGAGTAGCTTTAGAAGCATTTTGAGATCTTGCTGATTGTGTTCCTGGAAAAGGAAACTCTCTGGGGGAAATACCAGTGAATTTACTTTTACCTTCAGAAAAGTAGTCAATTTTGCTCAGTGCCCAGTGTGCAGAATATGGAAGCTGGAATAAGAGATCAGAGGTACAATATTTACTGGTTTAAGGTTTACTTCCAGTATAAGGAACTGACTGTTAAAAAGGAACAGTTTACTGAAAGTTTCTGCTGAGCTTTGCAAGCACATGAAGCCCCAAAAGCAGAATACTCTTCTTGGTGGCTGTTCTTTCTGTAACCGACAAAAAAACTTGGAAGTCAGAATGTACTCTGCTGGGTTGTGATAAATACTTGGCTTAAGCTTCCCACTTGCACAGGACAGGTGAGGTTCGCCAGGGCTGTGAATCAGTCTGTTTGTTAAGCCTAAAATACATCTATGTGTATTTTTCTTTGTTGTTAGTAATTTCAACAAACGCTTCCTGGAGGACAGCTTCATTTGTGATACAAGTTTCTGTAAAACTTCGTTCTGCTTATGTTGTAGGAAAAAAGTTAACACGGGCTGGGACATAGTTAAATTTCTGCACTTCTCATGCCCTGAGTCTTAATACCCTTTTGGGGCTCAAGTAGCATTTTGTGTATGATAGTTTAGGCTACAAAGAAGTTACGTTACTCCTGTAAAATAAATACTCATAGAGGTTTGGTCTTCTACCAATTTTAAGCCACAAAGTAAGCTGTACCAAAAAATGCAGATTTGGGGTTTGGAAGTTAACTAATATTTGTACTAAATGTAATAAATACATACTGGTGTATACTTTCCACTGTGCTCTTGAGCTCCTAATCTCCTTAGGTTTATCTTAATTAAATCCAGTATTAAACCAAGTCTCTGAGTTTCTTTTTCTGGTGCATGGTATGAAGAGAAGCAATCGGAACATGCTGTTAAAACTAGTGTGTTACAAGGCTAAAGACTAATTAAGGTTCAAGGGGACCAGAGCAGAGCATCAGTGGGGCTGAGCAACCGTCTCGTCATGGTAGGACGGTTAGCATTGTGCCTTTCGCTGAAGGAGGCACTGGTAGTGTTATGGTAAAAAAATCACTGTTCCATGAAGTTTTAATGGACAGGTTTTAGACAATCTTTTCCGAAGTGCAGTAGTTCTGAAATAACATCTGGAGCTCTGTGTGCAACCCAGGGGTTATATAAACAAATTAATGTTACACCACAGTGGCTGTGGTAACATTTAGAAGAGGGAAACCCCATAAATAGCAGAAGGAAAAAATTGCTTGCAGTAGCTCATTGAACAAATCAGTAGAAAATTGGGTCATTTTCACTTGGTTTGCTCTCCCTGCTTTCATATGCCTCATAGTCACTGTTTGCATTAACTGGCCTCCCCTTACATGCAAATATTCCCAACTCCAAATACCAAAGAAGGAAGGTAATCCTAACATGTAGTGTGAACTAACTTGCTATTGGTGGCAATAGTCTTTCTGTCACAGGTGTCTTAGTATTCCTGCTACTGGGATATCTTGGTGCAGTCCAGAGGACTTAAAAAAGGTTGATTTTCATTGGTGAGGAAGTTTTAGATTTCTGTATGAAAACAGAACAGAGATATTTTTGCCAATATGTGGTGCAGTGGCAAAGGACTAAACACTCTAAACCCAGGCTTGAAATTGATTCAGATCCTCTCCTGTTTCAGCCGTCAGACAGTGGAGCTGCCAAGCGTTCCAGCCTGCTCCATCAGGACAGAGTATCTATGTATTCTATGATTCTATCCTATGGCTTTATGATTCTAAGGCCAGGTTGGACAGGGCTTTGAGCAACCTGGTCTAGTGAAAGGTGTCCCTGCCTGTGGCAGGGGGTTGGAAGTAGATGTTCTTAAGGTCCCTTCCAACCCAAACCATTCTATGAAGTCTTGACTAGCTGAAAGATAGCAGCAAGACTGGCTGAAACCAGTTGGAGTGATTGAACATATTGAGGCTGGAGATTTACCCAAGCAGTGAAAATCCTCGCTGCAACCATGCAGGGAGGAGGCAGGAGAAAAGGCTGAGTCTGCCAACAGTGCTTGTCCACCCCAGGGAATGGTTTCCATCTCTACTCAGCGTGGTCCTGTGGTGTCTCGTAAAAGCTTCCCGAGGTAGTGCCTGAGGGATGCTGCAAGCGGGCTGCTGCCCAAGGCAGAGGAGGGGAGGGCAGCAGCCTGCCTGGGAGCCCTGACAGTGCTGGGTTCTGCTTGAGGGTTTCCCTGTGCAGAGGAATTCCCTAGCTGGGCTGCGCACACAGCTCTGCAAAACACCCTGCAATGTAAGAGTCAGCCCATATCAATGTGGATTTCTCCATATGAGACCCAAGGATTGGTTTCTGTTCAGCCCACGTCATGACAGGGGTATCTGAGTGTCAGGAAGCATGCTTTTGCCAACAGTCCCTTGTGTACCCTTCTTTAAGTTGCATGCAAATGAATTTTCTGAGCTTGTCCTTTCTGTAGGTCTGTGAGGTCTTGGCCCAACAGCTCACAACATTCCAAAACTGGAGTGAGTTTCAAAGCACTCCCCAGCAGCAGACTTCACTAAAACCCCCAAATGTCTCTCTGGGTTTCTGGGTTCTCAGACCCTTGAGGAAAAGCAAGTGCTATTGGAGGCAGTCTGGGTTTGATGTCAACGTGATCCTTCCTCAACTCATTTTCTTCCTTTTTCTCAAGGCTGTGCTGCAGCCTTTCTGTGAAACCCCTGTGGTTTATTAGAGGAGTGCAATGGCATCACCAGAGCTTCATCATTGCATAAAACATGATTAAGGAGGCTCACAGTGCACCTTTGGTGTATTGGAAATAATGAAATACATTTCCCCAGTCTTTTATCCTAAAAATGTGCCAATGAATGGGCATCCGAGAGGATATTCCTCTGCAGAGTCGATGCAGGTTGAATAAATACATTTATCATATCAGTGCACTGCTACCTAGAGCTCTAGGGGTTCTTCACCTTGTCACAGTGTCAGACACAGCCATGGTGACAGCACCAAGAGCTTTTGTGAAAGGCAGTATTATGATCTGACAGCAAAGCCCCTCCTAAGGTATTCATTAAATTGTTCCCGGTGCCAGGACAGCCTATGATTATGTCAAACGGGAGCAAATTGTATGCTGTGCTTTCCCAGTATACACGAACTTAATCTGAAAGTCTGCCTAGAAAGGTTAAACACTGACTTGAGCTTTGCCCAGAACTCCAAAGCAGCAGGGCCCATCACCCTGGAGGGTCACTCAGGGGACTGCCATGCCAAATGTCCGTGCCAGTGAGAGAATTATTCCTGTGGATGCAGGTTTCAGCTGGGTTTATCCAAGAAGTTCCCTTGGACATCAGAATGTTCGGATGTTCCTAGCAATGCTGCCTGCTGGGACAGACTTGTCTGCTCCGGCTCAGGCTTGTACATCTGGAGAGCGACTGTCCCCATATGGAAGCTAGAGTTCCCCAGGAAGCAGCTGTGTGGGGAACCCCATGCTGTGGGATAAACCACTCTGTGAGAAATGCTTTTAGTGCTCATTTTGACACCAAAAAGCCCAGTTCTCCCAAGAAAAGCTAGCCTCACTGAGGTTCTTCTAATACAGAAATGACCTATGAGGTCATATACCTGTATTAAGTATTACACCAGTAATAAGCCTGTCTAGAAGAAATGCTGTTAAGAGTCAGGTTTGAGTGCAGACTTTATGGTCATATAATGTAGAGTGGGTTGTCATCTACAAGCAAGGGCTCTTGGTGGCTCAGGAACAAGCTGAATACTGGAAGTAGGAGAGAACGCCAGGAGAGCGGAGACGATCAGGCTACAGAGTTGAATGCCTGCAGTGAAGCTTCTGCAGAAGATACTGCTTGTGTCCGCTTTTGCTTCTTGCAGCCAAGTTTAGTGACTTTACTGGCAGTCTGGATTTTTACTGCAGCTTGTAAAGAGCACTGTCTCAAAACAAACAAAAAGAAGAGCTTTAATCTAAAAATAAACCTGTAGTTCTTGCACTCAACCCCCCCCCCCCAAACAACCCAACAAAACCAAACGAAAACAGCTGACAGAAGAAACAAGACCTGGATGCATTATAATAGTTCAGAAATCAGGAAAGAATATCCAAAATGTAACTATTTAGCAACCGCTTCATAGGCACCTCATGTTTTGGCCTGAAACACAGAGCTGGAGAGAGGCTGACACAATTTTTCAGCATTTGGGATAGACCATGCTGCTTGTCTCTGCTGCCACTCTGATTTATCAGCTTTGTTTAAAGCACTTGGGGCATTTATTCTAAATAAGTTAAGTAGGAAACAAGTTGACTTCTTGCATGTTTATTTTCCCTGTTAGTGAGAAGAATGACCTAATCCAAAATTATCGCCAGTTCGTTAGAAAAATTCAAAGTGTAGACATCACTTAATCACTTTGCAAGCAGAAAACCAGTTCACAAATGGGTGGAGCGGCTGCAGAATCAAGGTCTGCCGAGAAGAAATCTGCCTGATTTGGCAATATTGGCACTGTCCAGTTAGCTAAAACACAAATTAGCCATGCCAGCACAGAAGTCTGAAAAGCCACTAGAAAATTCATGATCTCAGCTGAGCCCAGAGGAGGAACCAGCAAGGAGCAGCTGTGATAGCTATGAGCCATGAGAGAAGTGAACCTGAGTATTTGGCCAGCTCAGAGCATGTGGACAGACATGATAAAGGGTGGGGATTATGGACCTTGGAAAACTGCTAAGAGGAGAAATTCCAAGGAGCGAGTGGGTCCCAGCCTGAAAATCAGCTGCTGGGGTGAGAAACAAAGAAAGCCAGAGTTTATAGATCACAGTTTATAGGTATCCAGTCTTGCAGAAAGTTCATGAGTTTTAAGAGACAATAAAAAAGCTGATTGTCCTACCCAGGCTGGTGCAGGTGTTTGAGGGAATACCTAGGAGCAGAGCTGAGTTCCTGCACAGGTTTGCTGATGCTAAAGATGCTGCTGCCTTGTATCATCAGTGAGCAAAGAGGAATGGCAAGATCCATGGCAATTTCCAATAACCTAGATAAAGGACTAATAAGAAAAGATCAAATTCCTGCTGAAGTCCAGACTGTGTTAAGCAAACACTGCCTCTTCCTTTCCTCTCTTTGTCTGCAGTATGAGTTTTGCATTGCCTTTCAGGCCATCCAGGAAACTTTATTTTTCATTTACATGAGAAAAGCAATTAGATATCTTTGGTGACAGATATCAAGTCATGTTGTTGAGGCTACATACCGAGCATCAAGGCTAGAATCCCCACCAGCAGTATCCTTTTCCATAGTTCATGACAGAGAATGTAAATGCATGAGCTGCTCCGTGTTGTCCACAGCAGGACTTCCGAGAGCTGTAGCACACCAGGCAAACTGTGTTGATACAAAATACCAGAGATGCTTCAGCTGGTAGGGCTGGGAGCCAGCTGTCCTGTCCTGGGGGTAAAGAATAACTGGCCAGTGTGACCTGAATAGGCAACAGGGTGGTATAAGTTAGCCTTTTCACAGCATCTAAAACACTTCAAGCTCCCCATGGGACTCTGAAGAAAACTGGGTGAAGGAGGCAGTGGCCAGCTCATAACTATGCAGGCTAGCACCTGCACTGTCCTTGTCCTGGTTAGATTTTCGTTGAAAACAGGTTGAAATGAGTCAGTGGCCTGAGGTGGTGACACTTTGCTGCTAAGGTGTAGTCACTGTTAGTTTTCTGGTCCTGAGAGAAAATAGCAGTGCTGCAGTTTGCTGCTTGCTCTAGAACATGAGCTAAGATCACTGGGGGTTAACAAAGAGCTGTGAATAAACAATCGATGTAAGAGTATGTACTTGAAGTTATAACTTCTTGC